CATATTCCCTTTGCCAATGTTCCGCAAAATCCTCTCCACGACCCAAACCAAAGACCTCTAAAAAACTCTCTTGTAAAATTCAGTTTGTACAAAAAGTTAATATTTTAGTGTGTAAGGGTCAGTCGGGGTTCCCGAAAGGGAAACTTCTCTCCGTCTAAATCATGTAAGTCGCTTATGTTTTCCTGTATTTTCCCTAAAAATAATTATGTAAATTATGTTTAAGTTATATGTTATGTAGATGTTTGTATTCAAATTATGTATTATGTTAAGAACTACCCTTAGTATATGGTTAAGCTTTTAACTTCTTGATAACGACGATGGATTAACCTGTAAATTCCTAGGATGTTTAAACGGCCTTAAAAGGTCCACAGAAATTACAGGACTTCTTGTTGGCCATATCCGGGGTGGGGTTAAAGAAGAAGTTACTAAGAATACAGGTTAAAAGAAAGAGATGAATGGGGTAGTAAATTAAAAAAAAAAAGAGGAAAAAACAGGTTAAACTCTGAGATAAACATGATAGGACACTGAGTGAGAGAGAGTACTGAGTAGGATTTACAAAAATCTGAATTTCTGCTATTCTGCTATTTTGCTATTTCTGGTATCTCTAAATTTCTGCTATTCTGCTATTTCTGGTATATATATATATCAATACAGTTATATAACAATGTTGGTTCGTCTTCTCAGTCATATGAATGAGAAATGCAAAATTAACGTGAGAAGATTGTTCGTACTATGTGAGAGACGTTTAATTTTTTTAATTGAATTAAAGTTTGATCAATAAATATTGTATTTTCAAGAATATTTTTGTGATAGTGTATTGTGTGATTCTATAAACTTTTACTTATTAGGTAAGATTGTATAAATAATTGAGACAATTTTAACGGTTTTACAACTTATGGAGATTTTATGTTTATGAGAAAATATACAACATAAAAAGTCAAAATCTCATATCAAATAAAACTTCAACTTCATTTCATACTCCTCCTTCAACTTTGATATTTAGAGCTTATATACCCCTCGTTATGAAAATGAGTCATATATACCTCTACTGTTACACAAATGGCTTACATATACCTTTTTCCTCTAACGGAAATGAAAAAAATCATTTAAATTTATTTTTAAAAAATAATAATTCATTTAGGGGTATATATTTGATCTTTTTCACACGTATATATATTTGATCTTTCTCACACGTACTTTTATTTTGACTTCTTTGATTCAACGGCTAATTTGAATTTATTATTTTGATCATTAAATTTATTTTGGCACTAATTTTCTTGTATAATTTATTGTAGATGCCCTAACTTTTTTTACAAATACAAAAACTAAATTACAATATAGCCGCAAAAAGAAATTTAGATTACAATATAGCCGGAAAAAAGGTGAGTTTTAATTTAATTTTTTCCTACTTTTTTTTCCCTTTTTCATTCACACTTCTTTCTCTCTTATTTTTACATTAAAGAATTAAAAAAAAAAAAGATACAAGAATAAGAAACTCAAATAATGATAATAGAAGAAGTCACAAAATAATTCATGTATGAAAGGGTTCAAACATATCCCAGAACTTAGCTAGGATGATCATTTATATCCGAACATGAATTTCTTTTAAAATTAAATTTTTCACTTCCTTTAGATGAAAAAGGGTATATGTAAGCCACTTTTATAACGCCAGGATATATATGAGCAAACTTTTGTATCGATAGAACTATAATAGCAAGGATTTATCAATTCTAAATGACAAAATTGAGGAATATATCATATTCTTTTTCCTTTTGAATTTGGAAGTTGAGGGGTCTATCATACTTTTTCCCCTTTTGAAAGGCCACTCGAAGTTTTCAACATTTAAAAATGGGTTTTTTGTAATTATGCTTCATTTCGAGTGAATATTGTTGCAAAAGATCCATTACGTATTGAAGAGCTTAAATATGAAATTTTGGGCGATTTAGTGCAGTTTTTGAGGCGTTTTTTAATGAATATAATGTTTGGATGTAAGAAAGAAGACAAAGTCAATTTTTTGTATATTAATGAATAATATTTTATATGAATGTTTAAATATCTCTTATAATTTTATATAATATCGTATATTGTGTGTTTAATAGTGTATACCAAGTTTTTAAATATTTTTGTTACATGGACATGAGAAAATTATATGTTGTTATATACGGGTTGTATAATATTGTATACCGATTGTGACTTTAGATAAAAAAGTTGTAATGTAAATTTTGAGTTATATTTTTGTAATGTAAGCTAGATAATTGTATATTTCTGTAATTATCATATTTAAATTTTATTTATTTATTTTTATTTTAAGAATAATGATTAATATGAGTAGTTTATTACGATGAGATAATAAGGGATCGTTTGGTGTGATGGATAAGGGGAGTTAATCCCGGCATAAATTTTAAGTAGCATTTAATCTTATCCCATGAGTAATAATAAGGGCTCGTTTGGTGTGAGGGATTAGAAATAATAGTGATGGGATAAGGAAATAATGATGGGATAAAAAAATAATTATGTTGTTTGGTTGGCAAGTCCGGGATAACTTATCCCGGGATTAATAATTAGTACCGGGATAAGTTATCCCTCCCCATGGGTGGTATAGTAATCCCGGGATAACTTATCCCGAGATAAAATAGGTAAATGACAAATATGTCCCTTTAAATCCTTTTTATACATCATTTTTTACATTTATGTATATTTACACTTTTTTTAATACCATGTATAATAATATTTACTACTCCTTATTTTTATGATAATTATACATATTTTTCTATTAAAAAATTATACTATATAAATATAATTTTTATTTATGAATTTATTTGACTAATTCTTATGTTTATTTTATTTTGATTTCTCATAAATTTTCTTCTCTTTAATAAACTTAAGAGGGAAGTTCTATTTTTAAGCTAAATAAGAAAACAAGTTATATTTTTAAATACACATGGTACTTATCATGGGAATACATAAACAAAAATATTTAAGTTAAATAAAATAAAAGTTTTATTTTAAAAAATGAATAACTAAAGCTCACAAAGAAATATTTAAAAAGTTTAAATAAAGTGAAGGGTAATTTTGTAAACAAACAACTTGTTCTTAAAATTTATCAATATATATTATTTTGAATATAACAAACCAAACACTCAATAAGAAATAATCCCAAGACAACTTATCCCATCATAACTAATCTCAACATAACTTATCCCAACATAACTTATCCCATCATAACTCATATTCAAACCAAACGACCCCTAAATGTTATAGCAAGTCTAACACATCATGTAAATTAAAGATGGTATTCCATCCTTCCAGAAATACAAGTGATACAGGCAGTTAAATTTTATAATCCGGATTTGCTCCATAGTGTCTTCGAAACATCTTTTGTTCCTTTCTTTTCAAATAGGCTATGTTATGAATATAGAAATTGATCTCCAGAGTTTCTTCAATAAACCACCTAGATAAGCTGCTTCCCAGCATTCAAGAACTTCTCTGAATTTCCCAGGGATAACCCACTCTATTCCAAAGACAACCAAAAACATGGAACAGATCTGCCAAGTAAACTTGGTATGTAAATGTAAAAATAAATGTGGACATAAATGCTCCACAGAGTTAACATCTTGTACATAATATCCGACCCCTATTGTCTCATATGTCACAAGACACTGACCGCCAAAGCATGCAACTTTGAGCAGCATTGCAGCCTTCCAAATCATCTTCCAAGGGCATTTCCAGTATAACGTGAACTAACTGTAAAAATCCCATTACTGCTTCAGCCTTCCAGATTTGTTTATCTTCCTTTCCTTTGTGTGACAGAAACTTTTTGCATCTTCTGAAGGAATAAATCAATTTCCTGCATTTCTCTTTCAAGAAGATTGCTCCTAAACTGAAAACTCCAGCCTTCCTCAATAAACATGTCTGCTAGCATGATACCGGGATTACCAACAACACAAAATAAACTTGGAAATTGATCCTTAAGAATCCCAGTTACATATTTATGTCATGCAACAAATATGTTGAAAAGTCATCCATAATGTTTTCCTTAACAATTAGTATATCTCTTTGCCGGTCATTTTATCATTCAATACCAATCGATTCATCATATTGACGGCTCTAATCATAACTAATCCCAACATAACTTATCTCAACATAACTTATCCCTTCATAACTCATATTCAAACCAAACGACCCCTAATGTTATAGTAATCCTGGGATAACTTATTACAGGATAAAGTACATAAATTACAAATAAATTCCTTTAAACTATATTTAAACCTCATTTTTCACATATACGTATAACTATTTTTGAAAGTCTTCAACCTCCTTAATCTTAAATAATTCTTTTGCAAAAAAAAAGGGACTTATTACAAAAAAAAAATTATGCAATACAAATTTACAATATAAATTTTATTATAAATTTGATTTTTCACTAAATAAAAATATTAGTACATGTCCTCCCGACTCCCCCATCCTCCACCCTCCCTACATTATGTTTAATACCATGTGTAATAATATTCATTACTCCTTATTTTTATGATAATTCTTTATATTTTTTTATTAAACAATTACATTATATAAATATAATTTTTATTTATGAATTTATTTGACTAATTCTTATGTTTATTTATTTTTTGATTTCTCATAATTCCTCTTTTACTTTAACAAATTTGGGATAAAAATTCTATTTTTAAGCTAAATAAAAAAATAGTTTTATATTTAAATATATACGTACCATCATGTGAGTACGTACACACAAAAATATTTAAGCTAAATAAGATGAAAATTTTTATTTTTAAAAATAAATAATTAAAACTTGAAAAAAATATTTAAAAAACTAAATCAAGTAAAAGGTAATTTTGTAAACAAACAATTTGTACCAAATATATTATTTTAAATACAACAAACCAAACAATTTATGAAACAATATCAACATAACTTATCATATCATAACTAATGTCATCTAACTTGTTTTCAAACCAAACAACCTTTAATTTAAGCTAAAAAAAATTTCCTGGTAAAGACGCTAACCCATCAGTTCAGCTGGCATTCCCCGCCACGCTTTAGCGCCGAATTAGAAAGGAGCCCTAGGGTTTTCTGTTTCCGACCTCTGAGTCTCAGGCAAATCATGGGTGGAGGCAACGGTCAGAAAGCGAAGATGGCTCGGGAGAGGAATCTGGAGAAGCTGAAGGGTGCTAAAGGTATTCTCTGTTTTTCCATCTACACGATCAAAATCTATTTCTCTGCAATCCAGATCTCAGTGTTGGTAGAAAACCTCTTAGATAAATATTTTAGCTCTATTTTATATTAACTTGTTAAATCGTCGCAGGAAGTCAGCTCGATACGAACAAAAAGGCCATGAATATCCAGGTAATGTGTTCAATTTCATTCTTTTGCAGTAAAATATTGCAGTATTGTTGCAAATTTAAGTTTTGATGGGAAGCATATCACATAATAATTAAAATGTTTAGTAATTGAATGAATTTGAATTCATGAAATTTGCGGAAGTTGTATATAAATTGACTTGGTATCAGTCATTTGTTGAAAGAACGACCAACACTTCCCCGTCCCACTTGACCTGGATAGTAATGAAGTTGCAAATATGTTCAGTTTTGAAAAAGTTTACGTTTTTAGGCTATTAATAATAATAATAATATTAGGATAGATTTTCCTCCGGGGGGTGGGGGTGTCTTAGTGGTTGAAGAGTTGTGTAACAGCCTTGGATATCAAGATTTGTATCCAACAGAGGTGACATTACGTGAGTTCATCCCCTATAACTCTATAGGAGAAGGTGAAAAATTATTTATTGCCTAAGCCTTAGTGGACATAGTTACCCGATAGCTGTACAAATAGCACATACATAGAGAATTACTCTTGTTTGAGTGGTTGATAATTGTCTGTAATATGCATGAATGAATGATAATCTTTTAATTTTGTGCGTCAAACTTCTATAATGCCCAAATTAAAATCTCAAAACTCCCTAGTCCCTATTTTCATTTAGTATTTCTTCCTAGTTCTCTTCACTCTTTTCTTTTGCTCCTTATGTGGGATGTAAAGGAACTCTCCTCAATTTGTTGTTAACGTTTCTGTTAGGAGTACTTTCTCAAAAAAAAGTTTCTTTTGAAGTAAAATGAACGGCAGTTGATGTCTGCATTGTAGTGATGTTTTTTGAAGTAAAAGGAGAAAGAGTTAGCTACCTTGTGTCTTTCCAATAACTTTTGTATGTCCGTTCCCCCCTCTTGAATTGTCCTTTAGAACACTCTTATGTATAGCTGCAACTTGGACTTCTTCTTTTCCCCTTTGTTGGAACTTGGTCTAGGTCTAATTCTGAGACCCCATTTTGTTGTTGCAGTTACTTCTGAAGCTTAGAGTTTTAGATTTATTTGAAGGGACAAGGTTCATTAACTGTTTTTCTGAAAGAGTTGTATTGTGTTGAATTATCTAAAAAATGAAAAACTGAATTTCTATTTGTACCTAGGTGGGGATACTAGTTTCCGAAAGTTTGAATCTGAAAATTTTGAAACTAAAAAGTAGTTAGGGCAAAAAGAGATTGGCAATTGAAAACCAGTGTTAACTAGGAAAAGTTTCACTTAATGGAGATACAATCATTGTTAAGGAACTTATGTAACTACGTAAGTGAGAATAGATGCATAAAGAAGGGTAACAAGACTGTTGGTAGGACATTGAAGGGAGTTCTCTTCTTACTCAATATTTTAGTTTATGAGGAATTTGATTGAATACCTAATTTAATATGTTAAGTTGACTGACATGTCTTAGTAGTTCTGGAAGAAAATATTATTGTAATGCTAGCAAATTTAAGCTTAATATAAAAAGCATTATGTGAAAATTGAAAGTATGAATAGTCTAATGAATTTGAATTCATGAAATTTGCGAATTGTATCAAACATTTCTTCTTTCCTTCTTTTTTTTTTGAATGACTTAAGAGGTTGTATTACAAAAGCATCTAGAAGATGCAAGAATTTACAGAGAGAAATAGGTGATAACCCCTGTACAACAAAAAATAGTCAGGGTCTGGGAGTTATAACCTAAAGCAAAAACTCAAGGTTGTTAAACCATTGAGAGGGAGCTAATGAAATCTAAAAGGAGAATTACATCATTTACAGGGGAAAGGTTGCTCCAACTAAAATGATTCATCAAACTTTTAGATTTCAAGGTGCACTTTGGAATTGGAGTCTGATCATAACACCCACTGTTCCTTTCCATCCATATACAACAGAATATACAGCTGGTACCATTTACAAGATTTTCTTGATGGATCTATCCACTTCTCTTAAGTTCCAACTTTCAAATGCTTTTTCTAGGGTGAGTGTTGTTGACCAGCTGATGCCAAAAACTGCAAAATACATGGACCAAATGCCTGCTGCCACAGGGCAATGTAAATAAAAATGATTCACTCCATCTCCTATAAGATGGAATATGAAGCATCTCTTCAATTTTTTCTAGAGTGTCTTATAAATATATGATGAAAGGAGTACTTAAGTTAATGGGTAATATACATATTGATAGACTGAATTGCCAGCACTTCCCCTTCCAACCGAAGTTGGAAGTAATGAAGAAATTGCACATATATTCAGTTTTGAAAATGTATCCATCATTGGGGGATTTATGGCTATTAATTGGATATAATTATTTCCCTTGACGATGGTGTCTTAGCAGTTGAAGAGTTGTAGTAACAACTTTGGATATCAAGATTCATTGTCCAATGGAGGTGACAATTGGTGAATTATTTCCCTCTACACAAAAAGGGGTTGAATCCTTCTTATCAGCCTAGCTATGTTGCTCAGACTCTTCGTTTTGGCTGCCAAACGCGACACGGGTGTGCGGTGCGTGTCAGATTTGGTCAATGCCATCTGGATACTTTGACCTGAGTCGAGAACAAATTTTTTTTGGGTGGGGTGGGGGTGTTGAGAATTTGAAAAACTCGACGATGAGCTAGGGTTGACTGATGAGGTCTTGTTGTTTTCTTAAAGGCAGTGGCGACTAGCGAGGAAGATGAAATAAAATATATAAACTAGGGTTTTGCAGAGATTTTTAAATTTCTTGTTTACTCTTTATGGGTTGCAACTAAACATTTGGGCCTAACCACTTCTAATGACATTTTACCTTTCATGGGCCTACTCTTTGTATAATCAGTGTTGTGGACTTTGTTGGACTATTATGTAGTGTAAAAATCCTTAATGGCTTGGACAGCAAATCTTAATAATTATCATTTGCACATAATTTTTTTAGCTTTATAATTAGTTAGGAGATAAGACTAGGATAACTATTGTCACATTTGACTCCAAATTGAATTCTACAAAATATCTCTCAAATTTAGACTATCTTTATAAATCTATTTTTATAATGTTGAACATTTTAGCGGAATCCCCTTACCCCGTGTCCATACTCGGTTTCGTACCCCCGAATCTTAAAATTTATATTTTGCCAAATCCAACTCTCAGATCTACACCCGTCTTGGATACGCGCACCTGAGTCCAAGCAACATAGCAGCCTAGTCTTGGTCGGCAGGGCTATATGGTGCTGCGATACCCGTGCCAGTTGCACGTACTCAGTGGATTAGTTGAGGTGCTTGCAAGAAAATGGGTACAGATATTACTGCAATAAAAAAGAATAAAAAATAGGTAGAAGACTCATAAAATAGGATAACTAGGGGTATGGACCCTATTTAGTGATAGAATCAGAATAGGGAGGCATATATGGTGAATGACTGAATGTTGTATCCTGTTAGTCGTGTGTTTTTTGCATTTTTCCTATTCTACCTTTTGTGTTTGCGGTTTCGGAATGTCAAAGTGCTTAAATTTTACTTCTAGTGTGTTAGAAGTATTTCTCTTTTTAAATCTCGAACATATTGTTCGGGAATGAGTAGTTGATAATTGATTGCTTGCTAATTTACAAACATTTTTTTGCCTGCCCGATAGTAGCACTAGCACATACAATAGCACCCAAGGGTGTGACCTAGTGGTCATTGAAGTAGTTAATAACCCTGAAGTCTTAGGTTCAAAACTCAGCGGAAATAAATAACACTAGGTGATTCTTTTCATCTGTCCTAGCCTTTGTGAATAGAGTTACCTTGTACCTGATGTTGGTGGGAGGTGACAGGTATCTCGTGCAATTAGTCGAGGTGCGCGAAAGCTAGTCCGGACACCACGGTCATAAAAAAAAAACATACAAGAGATTTTAACAATCTAATGCCCCCCTAGCATTGAGATATGTGCTCATTGATTTATTTGTATTCCACAGCGAGCTTTTTTATAAATATAGGCTAACTTATACCTGATTTTAAGAGAAAACAAACATTAGCCAGTTCCTTCCCTCCATTGTTTTTTGCTGAATATTGGAAGATAAAATTTGAAGTGATCTAGTTTGAAGGTTCAGACTTTTTAAAAATCTTTCAATAAGCTTATGTTTTGTCAAATTGTGAACTACTCCTTGCCTAAACTTATTGAGAGGGCTAATTTGAATCTATTCGAAGTCAATTTACAGTTTACTGTAATATAGGCCAATTTGTTTTGGCTAGGTCAGCTTTCCTATTGGTTTTGCTTAACTGTTTTGGCCTCTTGGTTTTAAAAGAGTGTGCGGTGTCTGTATGACCATCAGAATACTTTTAACTTGATATAGCTCAATTTCAATGGAGCGTTTTGATTATGTTTTATGATGTTACTAAAATTCTTGATGTACTACTACTGTCTTTCTGTATATTCATTAAGCAAAATATGACATGGACACCTATACTCTTTTCTTTTTTTTTGGGCATACTTTTATGACCCTTAACAGTAGGAGGTAGTGATATCATTTCTGTTGTCCAACTGTTGGCAGATGAGGGACTAGTTACATGAGTAACTTGTTCTTGAAACTTAATTCCCAAGTTGGATATAGAGTGGATTAGGAAGTTCTATTTCCATGATTCCCAGTTATTAGCTAGCAGGCCTGTTTATAACAATTTGTTATAGCTTATGACTAATGCTAGAAGATTTTTCTTAGCCATCAGTTAGGTTGCGGTTTGAGGCCTGCAAATTCATTCATAAAACTTTGTTTTGGTTCTTGGTTAACTCGTCTGTTTTGTAAATGATGGCAGTGCAAGGTGTGTATGCAGACATTTATGTGCACAACATCAGAGGTGAAGTGTAAGGAACATGCTGAAGCAAAGCACCCAAAATCTGATCTCTATGCTTGTTTTCCTCATCTCAAAAGTTGAAGTCCTTTATGTGTCAAACATCCTTGCAGAAAAAAAAAATGTTGGTATGATCTACCACCAGTCACTAGTTGCAACAGTCAGCTCAATCAAGCTGTGAACTGCTTGTAGTTATTGTGTGTGTGTTTGTGAGACTTGCAAATTGTGTTAATGGCTGGTCTTAATAATGAAGTTTCCTGGCGACAAGACAATGTCATATGACATGAAACAAGCAAATGCTGAAATTAAAACCTATATATGAAGAAATCAGAAACCATTTGAGAACATCTAAATTCCAGCTCTCTCTTACTACTATAGTAATTAGCCATCAAAGTCTATCATACTGAGCTGATAGATGAACAGAAAATTGACTTGCACCACAAACGGGAATGAAGTCCTGACTCTGCCTGATCGCTTTGGTATTCTTACCAATTCTTTGCCAATGAGGCATCCATTACTGTATCTTAAATAACTAGGCAAAATGAACCTTGAAGGTTGTGAATGGAGCTCTAGAATGGTCTCAACTCCTGAATATCCGGACGATAAAAATTGAGGAGTTATCAACCATACCTTCAATTTTCAAATATCATTATTTAAGCCTCTTATTTTGGCAAACTCTTTTTTCAAATTTAAGCAAGATCTATGTCCAAATTAATGCCTAGTAAGAAAAATCTTAATTTTGTTTCCATGAGAGTTTAGCTCAACAAGTAGTGCTTTAGTGTGATGACCCGTCACGTCCTTATGCTACTTAGGCACCGTGTGGCATATCGCTGTCTATCTGGAAGTTTACATGATAAGTACACCAACATTTGTGGGAAGATTCGAGTTTCTTGGAAAAATTCTAGAATATTATTTGTAAATATGTAGGATTTGTGTAATAATATTTTGCATATTAGCTCCTGATGAGTAGTATAAAATTATAAATACAAGGATATTCATTTGTAAAAATATTAAGCAAAGTTCAATGACAATTCTCTGCAACACAATTCTTCCCATGACTTCTCTCTACCGTTTAATTGATATTCCTAGTGTCGTCGACTGACTTGGCATAGCAAGATTATGAGTAAGTAGTGCAAAAACATGTGCAAGTTATCAAGTACCGCATGTGTACTTAGTTGAAGACTGATAACGTGATATTTAACTCTATTTGGTTGTTTTCAGGGACTCGTTAGTTCACACACTCCAAAGAAACCAGCTGTATGTTGGACCTACCATGCTATTATTTTTTTCAACTAGTTGTGTCTTGTGTGTGTGTTTTCCGCTTTCTGTTTTCTTGCCTAAAACTTTATGCTGTTTTGAACTTGCTAAAATATATGCTTAACAGTAGAGATCGAGGGTTGTGGGATCGGGCCAGGGGTTCGGGTCGGGATCGGTCTTGAGTCAAGGGTCAGGTCTCTGGTCCCAAGTTAGGGTCGGGTCTCAAGTTTTGGATGAGAGTCGGGGTCAAATCCCTGGTCGAGAACAGAGCAAAAAAAAAATGGAAAAAATAAGAAAATAATTTAAAAATAAACGCTTGAATTATGATAAGTTCTCAAATTAGTATATAATTTAATGATGGTGTAACTTTCTTTTTTTCACCTTGTGATGGTGTAACATATGCTGGTACAGCCTACACTTGTTGAAGAGAGGGGCAAAATGGGTCCACAGAGGCTACAGAAGAGCAATTTGTGGCCTGATATTGGCCTGGTTTTTCTAATTTAAGTGAATGGAACACCGACTTTTATTACTCATTTGTGTACGAACCATATATACGATACACTTCTTGTCCGATCAATAAATTACGACTTAAGATCAGTCATTGTCACAAAACTAGGGTCACATAGCTCTGGCTAACTTATCTATGATTGTGCGGGTCATTTCTAGTTAGTACGAGCCGAGGTGGATCCGATATTTGAAGACAATAGGGCATCCATTGAAGATGGATGTACGTTAGTTGAAGCGATGCCAAACAATACTATCTCATCTAAAAATTTTATTAAACACCCACAAAATTGAGTTACGTATAAATATAAATTAAATGTCATAATTGGATAAAGATAGCTCCACATATCGATGGTTTGTCACCTACACTTTTTATGAATTTCTTTTAATTGTCTGGTAAAACCGAAAATGAAGTAACTCATATTTGAATTCGGGTTATGCGCCAGCGCTCGAAGGCCTGGGGCACTCTAACCAAATGACCCTGTCCAACATATATGTTTAAGAGATTCTTTTAATATATATAGTAATTCTTCAAGGTATATATACATAAAAGAAAATTAAAGTTCACCTGAGTTCGCCTCTCTAACGGTATGTTCGTCTCATATATTTTTTTGAAGACAGACCGATTACCATGTATTACGAAAGAACTATATTATGTAACTTATTATTTTCTACCTCTCAATTTATTACTATTTGACATATTTCTCAATTAGTGTGTTTCAACAAGCAAAACATTAAATTTCATGATGTGAAACAAGATATGGATGGGATAAGATTCGTTTTAAGAGCTACTATTACTAAACAAAGTACTGTTCCCTTTTGTTAGGTATTGAGTGGTACTTGGTGGCTAATAAATTGCGGTAGCCTCTGTCACATCTATCACAATTACAGCTCTAAATTATGAGTATCCATCACATACTGATCGACCACTATTCCCCTCGTTAGGTATCATTTGGGACATTTAATTATGAATTTATATGTCAATGACTTGTCATATAAAGCTCACGTACACCTCAAGTTACAGTACTTGTCGAGTTATAAGAAATAGAGTACTTTCTTTTTAAATGATTCTCTAATTGTTATCATAATAATATTAGTAAGGATTTTAAACTTGCTCTACCCAATTCCCTTAGGTTTAGTAGCAGAGTGAAAGATAAGCGCCATGCAACGTCCAAAGACGGTAAGTTTAGTTCCAATCTGCATATAAACGACAAGTTCAATCATTTGAAAACAAGGCTTTGTATTATTCCATTAATCATGAAAATTTCTGTTACGTACGTATCTCACACAACTGACACTAATTATATGAGGTTTCTGTTGTCTGATCACGATTTGTGGAGTACCCAAATCATCAGTTGGGATATTCCGATAATTAAGCCTCTGCTTTCATGCTCTATATATATATATGAAGTTACATTGAACATTAATAATTACGAATGGTTGTTTAAGCATCAAATTTATCCATGTCAGTAAATCCTATAGTCCCCCTTTGTGCCTTGGCCACATCTAACCCCTTCAGCCTGACATTGACAAATTATATCCCACTTCTTACTACCTGAATTCCGTCTTATTTGCGCATGCAATGTGTGGTGCGGGGCAACCAATATAGGTTGTGTGGAACCGTTTCATCCTTAATTAGAGATTTTGAATTCAAGGTTTAGATATAAAGAAAATTTTGTTGAGAGCGTCACCCCGAAATGGGTATGCAATGTGTCATTCAGATTTAGTCAGTTTGAACCTCAAGTGGAAAAAAAGGAAAATTATGCAGAATAACAAACATTTTGCCTATATTAGTTACTATAGCTACAGTTTAAGAAAATTTTAATTCCCGGCTACAGTTTTCTCACTTCTTGCTATTCGCCTTATTTGTATAATCCGCCTGGTTTGTATAAATTCAGAATTTGTATAATTCGGTTATTAGTTGTATAAATCCAGAATTTTGTATATGCTTACCCTAACTATTTGTATATGATTTATGAAAAAATTATAATTAATTACCTTGTTTGTATATTGAAAAACGATATATATAAACGGAGTTCTGAAAAATTCCTAAATGTATAAATATAGAATTTTTATATACTTACCGTATTTGTATATTTGGAAGCGAAATATATAGACGGACAGAAATATACAAACCGCAGCCTTCATAACAAACAAAACTATAGCTATGAAGCACAATTATGAAAACAATAGCTAGAACGTTATTATGTTTATTATATTTGTAATTTCTAAAATTTTCTATTAAAAAAAAAGTGTGGTGCGCGGCATTTTTCCTTAGACCTTTATTACCTCCAGCCACTACATTGTTCAGGCTTTATTTTGACTCAACTACTTCTATTCTGGCCACGTGGACTACCTTACTAGCCGACATAACTTAAAAAATAAATATTCAATTGGGACATGAAGGTAAGACCTTAGTTATTAAAGTCACCACAGTTCTACCCTAAAAATTACCTAAATGTCGAATTGTGACAATAATAAGCTCACAAGTATTGTTCATATAAAATTTAACGTATGCTATTGCTGATCAATCTAAAGTGCTTCTAATTCTTTTTGATAATTCAACTTAGGGGTGATAATTGAACGAGTCAAGACAATAACTGGATCATGACTTAATCTAACTAAAATTTGTTTGGATTAAAACGGGTCAATTGGCCATATCTCAATTCATCCAAGTTTTAAAAAATTTAGTACCTAATAATTTTTTATTATTATAACTATACATAATTCCAAAATTTATCATTAGTCAATTTAAACTACATAGCAAGTTAATTTTTAATGAATTGAAATAGGCGAATCAATAACCCAATCGATGAAAAGAAGCAATAGCATTATTGACCCAGTAATAATTTTTGGGATGAAAATGATCCACACATAGAAACTTCTTTTCTTTTGGCACCATCCTCTAGGGCATCTCTGCATGACCTACGTCCAACACACTCAATTAAATCATTTACTACTCATTTTAACCCCACTACTGTCACATATATAGACCTGTAACGTCCACTCGTAGGGATAGCAATAGGGCGGTGCGGGGGGATTGAGCTTAATCTGCAAATTTTTAATTTGCAAATTTTTAATTCGCCCCGTCCCACCTCACATAATATTTTTTTCCATTCTCAACCCGTCACATTCCGCTTCGCATAATTTTTTTAATATTTTCTTTTTCTAGTTAAATTTGATACTAAAAATAAAATTAATAAAAATAAATTCATTTTTTCATTAAGTTGTATTTAATAGGATAGTGACTTAAAATTTTATTTTGTAGAGGTCAATTGGGAAACAGGTAAAAAACTGAATTATTTTTTATTGAACCATTTTCATTTACTATCTTAATAATTTTTTAGTAGCTTTAAGGAAATTATCTTAATAAATAATGTTCTATCACTCTTATAACATGTAAAAAATTAAAATTAAGTTTAATCCCACATAAAATCACATATACCTGCGACCCGCCCCGCCCTGCATTAGTTTTAAAAAACTCACTTCAACCCGCCCCGCACAACCTTAAACCCGCTCCACCCTGCATCCACCTCGCCCCACTGCCATCCCTACTCACTCGTGAGGATCTACTAGAGGCTCACTCTCATAC